AAATCCTCCCCAGCTTTCTGTCTCACACACACAGCAGTTGGCTGAGGATTCATCGCTATAGCAACAGAATCCAGAGAAAGGCAGAGCTGCTGGTTTGGACTACAAACCAGCAGCCATAACTGCCATAACTGTAGTTCTATCTATGGCCAAGACTCAGTTAAAACAGAGGCCTGAGCAGCATCTCAGAACTACATCATGGCGGAACATACATTTCTGCAAAAAGTTCTGAGCTCAGCGCACACCATTTTTCTCTCATCACTGCAATTACTGTGAATGAGGTACAGATGTGAATCGCGGTACTAAATGAGACGACAAATAGCCCTCTCATACGCTTCAAACGGTTTTCGAATACGTATCACGGTTCCCGAATGGAAAGGAGTTGTTCGAACAGCTTTTTGGAGTGAAACTGGCTGGCTCAAACAGATAGAATTGTTTCTCCCCCTGTCTGGAGAAACACAGGGGGAGGCTTGGTCACTATAGCAACAGAACACAGACAAAAGCCAAACTGCTCCTTAGGACTACAAAAACACCATCTTTGTAGTTCTAAACACGATGGAACACTTTACTTTGGGCATTATATAGTTGGATTAACCCAACCACTGTTACACATTTTATTGCTGTGGTCAATTAAAATGAAGCTTAATGAAAATTTCAAAATAAAAGCCTTGATATTTTTCACATCAGGTTTGGGCTTTATGTGAATGGTTTAAACAAACTACTTTTACACATTGAATTGGTGTTGTGGTTAAAATGAAGCCTACTGGAAGTTTCAAAATAAAAGTCTGCATATTCCTCTCATGCTAGTGCAACGCCGTAGGCGTTGCAATAATATTAAGCTTTTTTCGCATTTTTTTCCTCAGGATAGTGAACTGCCTTGCGCAGCAAGGCAGTTCATCAACATTAGCATTTCATGGGGGTCTTAAAGATTGAAATCCTTCCCCAGCTTTCTGTCTCACACACACAGCAGTTGGCTGAGGGCCAATCGCTATAGCAACAGAATCCAGAGGAAGGCAGAGCTGCTGGTTTGGACTACAAACCAGCAGCCATAACTGCCATAACTGTAGTTCTCTTTATGGCCAAGACTCAGTTAAAACAGAGGCCTGAGCAGCATGTCAGAACTACAACATGGCGGAACACTCAATTATTACAGAGGAGGGCTGAGCTGGCAGTTAGAACAACTTCCTGTTTTGGGCTTTATACACATTGGATTAGTGTGGTTATGAAAATTAAGTTTACTGAAAGTTTCAAAATAAAACTCTGCAATGTCCACTCACGAAAGTGCACCGCCGCAGGCGGTGCAAAAATGAAAATCTTTTTTTTATGTTTTTTTTCTCAGGATAGTGAACTGCCATTAGCATTTCATGGTTGTCTCAAAGACAGAAATCCTTCCCCAGCTTTCTGTCTCTCTCACACACAGCAGTCAGCTGAGGATTCATCGCTATAGCAACAGAATGCAGAGATAGGGAGAACTGCTGGTTGGACTACAAAGACTCTGTAGTTCTAAATATGGCGGAACACTTTAATACAGAGAGCAGAGCAGAAGGTCAGAACTACAACATGGTGGAACACTCAATTATTACAGAAGAGGGCTAAGCTGGCAGTTAGATCTACTTCTTGTTTTGGGCATTATACAGATAGATTAACGGAACCACTGTTACACATTGGATTAGTGTGGTACGGAAATGAAGTTTACTGAAAGTTTCAAAATAAAACTCTGAAAATTCCACTCACGAAAGTGCACCGCCGCAGGCGGTGCAAAAATGAAAATCTTTTTTTAATGTCTTTTTTCTCAGGATAGTGAACTGCCATTAGCATTTCATGGTTGTCTCAAAGACAGAAATCCTTCCCCAGCTTT